CAGAAGAAATGCAACCTTAGATAGAGCTAGATTTATTACAAAAATCCTTAAAATTTTGATCTTGTTACACCAAACTTATTGAGCATATTAATTCGTGTTCCTATTGGACTTGTAGAAGCAAAACTTCTTGAATTTGGTTGTAAGGCCAATCTACTTACTTCTTTCAATTGCATAACTTCTTGATATAGATTTTGAATTTCTTCTATAGGTATAGGATTAGTATTTGCATGGTTGGTATTGGTGATGCATGAAATTTCTACTCTGAGAGTATTGACAAGTTTGTGAAGATCTATAATAGTTGCAAATCTATTTTCACTTTGACCAAGTATAGCTTTCATGATTTTTTCTTCTATTTCAAACAACTTACAAATCTACAAGACAAATTAGAGGAAGATCATGAGCAACCACAATTATTGAATGAAAATTTCTACAAAGAGGGATAATCTACTTTTTTTGAGGAAAAAATTAGTGTTAAAAAACTAAACAACTAATTTGAAGGTGGATAATCCACAATCTTCAAAATACAACAATAGAAGTAGGATAATTCTAACCTATCACTTCTTAAATAAGATTACTCACTTCTAAAATAAGATAAGAATAATAAGTTAGCACTATTGTCAAATTATCAAGGACATAAATCTTGAAGAAAAAAAACTTCAATATATTCTTATGTCATTTAAAAAGATTAAAAAATCATTCAAAGATGATATAATATTAAATTAGAATGGTTATTATCAAAGACAAGAGGACTAAAAAAGTATTGACAAGAGTGAAGAAGGCTTCACTCTTACCTCCATATATATTCTTAACTTGGAGCTATGTGGCAATGCACTATAGGACCTTCTAAATGTGTTGATTTTGTAAGATACATATCTTAATTTGCAAGGCAAGTTTTTTATATGTATGCCACATAGTTAATTTTTTCTGTAAGCTAAAAATATGTGGTTAATTTATTGATAAATTTTCTAACCTATCAATAAATTATAAATACATATAAAGTCAAAATAGCATCTATGAAGCTTTTAAGAAGCATCTCTAGATAATATTATGAAATAAATCTATTTTTTCTTATTTCTACTTAATCATATAAGTCTACTTAATATTAAAGTATGTATATATGTTTGTGACATAATGTTATCATTCTTTAATAAACTAAAAATGTATATGCTCTTTTATTGTGCCTTCTCCAATAGCAAAGCAATTGTAAGGACATAAGAAGGAGAAGCCTCGTATTAACAACTCACAAAAGCCATTGACAAGCTATAGAATAATTTCATGAACAAGCAATAGTAGGTGCAATTAGCAAATTGTGTTGTTCAATTGTAACATTTTGAAGCCACAAAGACTGCCACTCAAGACTTGAGGACTAGATTGAAATGAAAGATGAAAGAATACAAGTATATAAGGGCCTTTTTTTTTTTGCCCATAGAGAAAACTAAGGCTTCACAAATCACAAAACTAACGAACATGTAAGGACAAATGCATTGCGATCTGTATGTAATGATTCATATTTGACAATCTATCTATAGCAACCTATACAAAATCCATCCTAATATATCTATTATAAAAAGAGCCAAATACTAAGTATTTATAAGCATAGAAGACCAATTAAGCACAAAAGAGAGAATATAATTAAAGAGGCCTATATCACTAAAAAATGCTTGTAATAATTATGCAAAAAATGAAAAGATGTAAATTTCTTAATCTAAATGGTGTCATCTTAGAATTCTATGAATAATTTTGGGATATATTGGGACTGATTTATTTAGTGATGATATAAGAAAGTATTCAAATAAGAAGACTTCTATGAAGAGTAATCTAATAATTAATAGCATTGTTGTATAAAAGAAGGATAAGGCATGATTTATTAAATTAGAGACCAATTATTCTTCTTAATATTGGATACAAAATGTATACAAAGCCATGCAACTAAGACTTCAATCCGTACTTATGAATATTATTGGTATAGATCAATATACTTTCTTACTTAGTTGATCCATCCTAGATAACATATTATTGACATATGAGACTATGGTATGGACAAAAAAATCAAATATATTACTTTTTTTTCTAAAAATAATTTTTTTAAAGACATATGATGTGATAGAATAGAAATTTTTCTTTCATATTATAGTGGCAATTGTATTACTAATTGAATTTATTTACATGGTGAAGCTATTATTTAATTATGTAAAGATATGTATAAAGATTAATGGGTCTTTTTTTGAACCTTTAAAAATTAAAAGAGGAATAAGACAAGGTTACTCACTTGTATCTTATCTATTTATTATGGTGGTGGAAGATTTTAATACAATAATAATAAAAGAAGCAAGATTGGGATTAATCAAAGGAATACAATTGCCAATAGATTGGAGGCAACAAATTATGGTACAATATACAAATGACAAATTCTTGACTTTAGGAAAGAAGACAATAATATACAACATGTTAACTATACATTGAAAATCTATTATATGAGATTGGGCCTTATCTTGAATTGAAATAAATCAAGTGATTATTAAAAAAGTGTATATGGTCCTACTTTTCTTTTATAGACCAATAATTTAGGTATTACATGGATAGATAGAAATGAAATAAGTGAATTATTGGATACTCCATTTGAACTTTCTTTAATATCAATTGATGATGACATCTTTCTACAACAAAGAATTAAAAAAGAATTAAACTATTGGAATTCAATGATAGTTAATACTATCAAAAAAGGGATTATTGTCAAAAATATATTATTATCTACAAAAAAAAAAAAATTACTTCTATATGGAGATGAACTAAAAAGATATATTTAAGATTAAAGCACCATAAAGTAATTATCTTATATGCAAAACAATACAAAGAGCTCGTACTAAGGTAACATGGCCATAATATTGCCAATCATTCCAAAAAGATATCATTAACGTCATCAACTCATCAGATGCGATCATTGCACTAATGGTCAAATGGATTGTTAAAGCATTAGAACCATCTGGCTTTAATCTGTACAAGATGCTAAGATATCAATTCAACCAATTCCAATCTTACTCAAAAAGAAGGTGGCAATCAAGTCGTGAATTCTTCAAACATGTCAAGCATTAGAATAAAAAAAAGATCAAAGGTACAAAATAAGATAGCAATGGTATGGAAAGTCCTACTCCTAAAAGTGATATACTCCCTTTCAACATGTCATTAGGAGTGGATCAATTGTAATATTTGGCAAAGTCAAGAAATTAATAGCATTGGCTTTGGATTCTTCAAAACAAGAACAACAACATTATACAAGCAAAGTTTACAAAAGTATGATGATATATGGGAGAATGATAATTTTTAAACTTCTCAACTCTACAACAACTGTATAGATTAAAACAACAAGAAGAGGGAGCATGGGAGGTACTATCTAACAAGTTAGCTCAACAAAGGCTTCGCCTAATCCCAAACTTATCCCAAAGGCTAAGAGAAGGGGAGTGGGTGGGAGTGTTTCCTGATGAGGTAACGGTCGACCTTCTCTCCAATGAATTTTTGATCCCTCATCAGACCCAACTATATAAAGGAAGGGGGTGACAAACTCTGTGGGTGGTCACACAAGAACCAAGGCCGACATTGCACAGGGAGACAGAGGACGGGACATCAAAGGGCTCACATGTTGTGGGCAGCCCTAAACGGATCAGAGTCATCACCATGGTGAAAGGGCAGAAAAAGAAAACTACTTACCTCCGCCGAGAGAATCGACCGATTGGTGTGAGACCCTGGAAGGTATCAATGGACGGGATAAGTCCCGTTCATGCAACACACAGCCCGGTTGGGACGAAAACTGCTTAAGCAACGGCATATCATTCTGAATGTCATCTCGCAAAAGTGGAGTGGTATCCTCCCGTCTAACTATAAGCTTAAATGGGCTAGTATGTGCGATGCAGAGAGAGCTCGGAAGGAGGCGGGCCTTTTGTGGCTCACGTGGCACAGAGCGATTGCAGTAAACTCTTGGAGAAGAAGAATTAGCAACGCAATCGACCAGGGCTGCCCAGTTTACATGACGGGTGCACGCGAAACGGTGCTCCACAGGGCATAGGAGTGCAACTCCGCAGTGAGAACGTGGAGATGGGGGATACGTCTCCTTCAGCTCCTCACCCCTAACTCGGAACAAAATGCGAGGCCAAGACATGCGCTCAGCATCCATGCACACGATGCGAACCACAGCGAGATTGGGCACAGGGCACAATCGGGCACTGCGGACGGTACTAATCAAGGATTAAGGCTCACACGATTTGCTCCATCGTGGAAACATTGTGTCATCGCATATAGGATCCCAGGAAGATTTAAGAGTTCTGTCGCATCTGGTTACTGATGCGAGGGATTATCATGTGGGTGCTGTGGATTGAGAGGAATGACGCAGCATTTAACGGGATTTTCTGGGAACAGGAGCAAGTGTTTCATAGGATGTGGTTGCAACTAGTAGATTATGGGAGGAATGCCTGGTTTAAGACACAGGAAAGAGTGAAAAGTAAACCGCGCCAAGCAGCAGAATACGTTGAGCAGTTTCGTCAGACATGGTGTATGAACTACGCCCTTTCTGTATGGCGGACTAACCATCCAGGGTGGTAGTTATCATACCCGAAAAGTAACTAATAGGTAATTCTAACATGTAACTTTCTTCCCTGACCAGACCTGGTTGGGGGTATGTAACCTATCTTACTCGCAATAGAGAAAACTCTATTTGTGTGAAAAAAAAAAAAAAAAAAAAAAAAAAACTCCAAGGCCGTTGTGACTTGAATTGCAGTGCTATACCAAGCCACGCGTGTAACATTTTTTTAAAAAACACCACCATGGAACAAGCACATTAGATCCACTTCCACAGATGTATGTATGTATGTGTACATATATATATATATATATATATATAATTTTGTTTGCAAAATTCTTTTTTGGTTTCAGCTTTTTTACACGCATTTGATCATTCAAGAGTGTGCTTACACTGTGCAAAGTGGGTGGCAGAGCAGTAGATATCGTCTGCACAAGGACACTGCTGAGTAAACAATGGATAGTTTGAGCTGGAAGTGATATCGCTCCCAGTGCACTAAGCTGCTGTAGAGAGTGAAAACTAGACAGGAAGTGATTGCAGCTCTGGAGTTTCTAAGGTTTTGCACTGTGGGTCTGAAAGATGACACTGACGACCTGTTTGAGTGGTCATTGTTTAGATTTAGCTAAGTTGGGAGAGTCTTGTTGTCTAACCAGCCAGCTGGTGTGCTGCGGGAAACAGAGAGCACATGAGGTTTGTGATTACCACGGCAGCTAGGGTGCACAGAAGAGGAAGTTGAGGGACTTACTGGCATTTTATTGTGAAATGGAGAGGCTGAGCGTCAGCATTGAAGCAGGCAAGCTTGGAGAATAGGGGCTGCGTAAGGGTTGTGAGGTTGTCCGTTCATTCAAGAGTACAGTCTGCGTGATTGATGAAGTGATCAAAGAAGCTCCTATCAAGCTATGTCCAAGACCAAGCTTTAGCAGCGTACGTCGCGATTCAAGTATTTTGCTTTCAACTGCACTGAAACGACCATAACTTTTCTTCTCAGCATCTCTTGCCAAGTTGCTGGAATATAATTCACTCTTTGAGTCTGTTTGTAACTAATTGGCGCACTTTTTCCTAAGCTCTTGTAGCAGGCCTCGTCTGATTGAGTTAGTGCACCATTGTCCAAGTTGGTGTCAGAACGGGGGCCTTCAGTTTGTCTAGGAGAGGGCTGCAGCTGGACTAAAACCTATGGTTTAATGGGAGTGTTCCCTCGAGTTTGTTGTGGCCTCTGACGTTTGCGTCTATTTCACTAGGAAAGTTCTTGCATGATTTGCGTAAAACGTTCACACATATTTGAGAAGACTTATGGGCTTAAGCATTTGGAGAATGTTTGGGTTCTTCGGAAACTTTTTTTTTTTTTTGCGCTCTCCCTGTTTACAGCGCAGAACGTGTCTTTCAATGTCAACCGTGTGTCAAAAGCTTCTTCATTTTTGTGCTTAAGACTTCCGATTCCTAGGAGTGACAGAGGCATTGTGGTTTGAATCAAAGTGAGTTCGCATTCTGTTCAATCGGTGCTTAGGACGTTGATTGCTCTTCCAAAGTCCGAGGTGTTCCATATCTTTTATTTTATTTCAAAGTTTTTGCCTGAAGTCGTCGCGCCATAACAAACTGCAGTAATCACTCATCTTTTGGGGGATCACGACTTTTATTCATGGTGGGTGGTGAGTACTCTACTGCACTTCGGCAGATTGGTTCGTTCTTGTCTAAATAGTCTATCTCGCACATGCTATGATAGGGAGTTAGAGACCCAGAATCTTACCCAGAGCTTTCTTGGAGATCATATAATGTACATTATAGAGTGAGGGATTATGATGCGCTTGATCTGTAAAAGATTTAAAGAGACTGGGCTACTTTTGTGGAATAAAAATCTAAATAGAAGATCTAGAAAGGTTTTTTCAATCTTCCATCCGGGAAACCAAAAAATAGCTGTCATATTACAACTCGAGAATACAGCTGATCCAGATATATGAATCTACGAAATTACTCCGAAATTTTGTTAATAATCAACAAAGTTTTGCGAACGTTAAATCTTGTAATATTCCAAGACCAAACCTGCGGGGTTGTTTTTCTCGTGAAGTATAGATAACTATCGTTGCTCGGTGCTCAAATCCTAAATACATTCGTCAAGTTCACCGATATTGTATGAGTAGAACAATCACTAGTGGATGTCTTTGTATTTACTGGCCAATGCATCACTTCATTTTGACGTTCTGTTGTGACACTGGTTTATTTTCTGAAGCAGCTTAATGAAGCTAGCCGTCCTCATAAACTCTGAATTGGAGGACAATCTGTTAAAAAGAGAAACTCTTGGTAAGATGCTTGTCATTGATCTGAATTATCAAAGCTGATTTATGGTGAGTAGATTGCTGTCGTCATACAATGTTCATCTCCAGAAATCGAATATTAAAATAGCTTTAATCAGAAACCAAAAATATAAACTTTCAGTATCAGAAAGACTAAGAATTTGATTTTGGCATTGAAGCGAAATTTTTGGATACTTCATTGTGCAGGAGGTTGATTGTAGCCGAAAATTGAAGCTGAGAAAAGAGTGCAATGGGGAGATCAAACAAGACTACGGAGTGGTTCAAAGCTGTGAAAAAGGTTTTTCGTTCACCCTCCAAGGAGAGGCCTTCCGTTCCAGAGGATTTGGTAAGATAAAGGTGCACCTATGTACATTTCTTCGATTGCCCAGTTGGCAAAGGAATCACACTCACAGTTAACAGTACAAAAGTGTCGGGTAATAAGCACTCCAGTGTCGAGGACATAATCAAGCTCAGTGAAGTTTCTTCTCTTGTCATGCAGAAGGTCGATGAAGACGAAAAACCATTTGCAAAGCATGACCTCTCATCAATATCTCAAAAGGCGCAGACACCTCATTCTGTCCCACCAGCTGAAATTACCACACATGATGAGGTCGAGTCTGAACACATTCGAGAGCAGCCCATGGTTACATCAGAGGTGGTTGGTCAAGCCATTTCTCCATTGGTTTCCCACAAGGAGAACAAAGTAACAGAAGAGGATAATTCAAGCAGTACCGTCGCTCATGAGTTGCTGCAGCACCAATTTGACGACGACGACGACGACGACGAGAGTACCGTGAGTGAAGAAGATGAGGCAGCTGTGAGGATCCAGCAACGATTTAATGACCCCGCGGTATTACACAATATTGTACACTCCATGATGATTACTTTAAACAGGAATTAAGAGTGATAGAATAGACAATTTATTATATCCTTTCTACTGCTTGTGTAAAAGTGGAATTATACATAATGGTATTAATGGTTATTTGTTTCGGTAGGCCTCGATAGGATTGGTAAGACTTCAAGCATTGGTTCGAGGGCATCAAGTACGAAGGCAAGCTGCTACAACTTTACGCACAATGGAAGGAATTGTTCGTGTACAAGCTGTCTTTCGAGGACGTTGTGTTCGGAAGTCGAAGGTTGGGAAGGCTGTGCGTAGCAGAATAGCATGCACTCGAAGGCTAAGTTCTCGAGGTGGAAAGCTTGGTGTAAGTTGCTCATATTTCTTGCAATTGTTTCGCTCCTGTATCCTCTGAACAATCCTAAGCTTACAGCAAACATCAACCAAAACCTGATGGAGAGTATACGGTTACCTTTAGAAGTGATATAGCAGTTCTTATACATATTATCACTCTGTTTCTGGTGATCACTGCTCAGGATGCTAAAAGGAGTGACAAACAGGACAATGAACCTGAATCAAATGGAGGTGAAGGCAAACCAGACAATCGTAAACGAGCGGTGCCATATCTCTTGACTCAGCAGGTATTTTGTATTCTTATGTCCCTTGTCAGTACAGTCAGGATTGTAGTTAATTTGACTTAGTATTGGTAGAGGGGTAGTACCTAATGATGCTCTCTAATTGGTGTTCCTCATCGTAATTCAGATACTGTTTACTCTGTACTACTGTTTTATTCTCAATTCCATGTCCTTTCCAAATTTATGCATGAATCTTACAGAATTTTGAACTTTGTCACAGTTAAAGAAAAACGCACCAAAGAGGAGGTCGCACCAGTTACTCGTTGACTATGACCCAGATCAACCTCATAGTGGTTGGGCATGGCTCGAACTATGGACAAATGCCAGGCCTTGGGAAAACCGAAAAGCTCAGGACCCATTAGTCCACAGCAATGAAACGATCTCGTCACGAAGGAACTCCGAATACGCCACTAAGGAAGTTGATGTCAACACTCTAAAGGTGAAGTACTACGAAGACTCCTTGTCTAATCCGACTCCTGCAAAGCCCTTCGGTTCAAGCACATTGAGTGACCAGAAGGAAACGCCTGAGTGGGTTGCACTAACGTCTTCACCTGCTCCAGCACATGCTCCTCCATCAAGGACGACCGCATACAGCCACCGCGCCCATTCAAAACAAGCACCCATTGATTTTCTTGTTCATCCAGGTGAAGAAGAAGATGAAACTTCGCAGTTGAAGCAAAGAATTCAAGAGGTCCAGATATCGCTGGGTCATGCGAAGACGACGTCCGCATGTCCTGCAGGCTCAGAGGATTCAAATCCCATACCATCATCGCCGCAAACTTCAGATACATGGCTTCCTGAGCTGGAAACGCCTCCAGGACTGGATGGTTCATCGGAGGCCATGCAGCAGTTGGTGTTGCCTGAAGCGCACAGATCAAAGGAAGGAGATAAGAATGGAGCTTTACTGAGTGATAGTTCCAGTTTGGCGCCCTCAGCCAATCGTGAGCATCAATCTGAAGATGTAAGCACACCAAATGGCAAGGACTCAGGCTCAGGTAATCAATCCCACACCGACTGTAGTTGCAACGAGGTCCTGTTTGTGCTCGTGTAGTAGTGCAAATGGGTGCAAGCCTTCTTCTAAGAAGTGCTGTTGCTTTGCATCATGAAGCTATTGAAACTTGCCCACTTACACTCAAGGTTGTTTCTGTCTAGAGGTGGCCAACGGACATACAAGCAACGTTCACCAGGAAAATGGTGACAAGAGAGCCACACCTGTCGAGAAAGCTGGAGAAAACGGAGATAGTCCCATCGCAAGCAAGAGAACCACATGCCGCTACATGACCGCCACAAAGTCAGCCGTGGCCAAGTTTCGATCAGCTAGCAATCCCAAGACAAGGGCTCCTGACACACCCGAATCACCTGCCGGTGTACAGAAACGGTATTCTTTTGGGGGTGCAACGTCTGCCAAGGCAGCGGAGAATTCTGCCAAGGGCACCAGTGGCACCAGAAAGTCCAGTTCCTTTCAGGTACTCCCCACAAATCCCGCAGCATTTCAACACCATGCGATAGTTCTGAACCTAAAACTAACATCATCGAACAACAATGAACAGTGACGCCTACGTTAGTGACAGTTTCAGTTTTCAAGATAACAACCGCCTCAAGTGATCTGCAGAACCGACGAAGTCCAAGTCCAAAGACAGAGAAACCTCCGAGTGCCGAGGCGGTGGCTGCATCACCTGCACGTCGAAATTCGTTAGGAAGTGCGGAAGGCAAGAGGTGGAGAACCTGAAAAGCAGGACCCAGCAGCCCATCCCACGTATTTTCAGTACTTGGGGTCCACTGCTCACATGCACCAACATCGTTTCCAGTTGATGCAACTGCACTCAGATCTTTGATCATTTTGGAGGAAGTCATGTCACATTGCGTTTTTTCTACACCAAGTGGACTTTCTGTGGAGTAGATAGTTGTATCATAAATCATCGGTTGGTGACATCGTAGTGTTGTTGGATTTTGCTCGAACACTGGCGATGGTTGTGTGGAACTCTGATCTTCAATTTCACGAATGTCTGCTAACGACTTCATTAATCCTGGTGAGTGGAAATGATTTTCACCTGTTATCTCTCTTGCTCTCTCATCACTAGTTGTTTTCTTCCTTTTTTATTTTGGTTTTTGATTGTTGGGGAGTTCTATTTCGTGTACAGCCCTTTGTGAGGGAGTTCAATTTTGGCCACTGAAACAACTCATGTTGCTGATTATCGTGACAACTGGAATTGATTAGTGACTCATACATGGACTTTGTCATACTCGGATCTTCCTCGAACTCACATCTTTGGGTACTTTATACCCTGTGTTGAATCTCCGCTCTAGACACCTCTGCGTTAATATTCTTGATCTTTTTAGAAAATGTTTTGGTGGCTTTGTGAGTTTAATCCACCTTTAAAGGACTCTGTATGTTTGTGTATTGTGGTTTTTGTTTTCATTTTACATCCAGTTTTTTATTCGCTATATTACATGAAGTGAGTAGTTTCAAAGCTGCAAGTGATTTTCACATTTACACTTCATTGGCATTGTATCTTTCTTTGGATTTCTCACTGAGAGATGGCCTAAAGTCATGAAATTGAAGAGAGTTCTGATTATGAATTTTAAAATCTGAAAATGATCATATGCCTTCGTATCAATCTGATCAGATAATGTGATCATATTATGATACAATTTAGATGAATTTGTTTAGATGTTTTGATTGGAACAAAGGCTTGGTTGATTGAAACAATGAACGCAACAAATATTTTCATTGAATTTTCTTACGTATCATGCATTTTACTTACTCCTGTAATACTTGGCGTATATTGCAATCTCTACATGTGAACGTTTTATTTAGAAAGTTTTGATTTCAAAAATAAATTACAAAAATTACAACTATTTTAAAATTTAAGTTAAAAAAAAAAAAAAAACCAAAAAACCAAAAAAACCAAAAAAAAAAACCAAAAGCTCGTTATTTAGCTTTTATAATCCTGCATCTCAATTTGCTAATTTTGATAGTACTACATTTTATTAAATATTGATGCACTCAATCCTAATAAGACAACACCTTTAAAGTGATAATTCAACACCTTTAAAGTATCTTTTTATTACAACATGAAATTTTAATACATAAATTAATACAAAATAAAATCAATAAATACTTTTAATTAGAAAATAAAAACAGTCTACAATAAATTATATAACTTTGCATGCATGTACTTTGATTGGACTTTTGCATAAAGATGCTTGTGTATTTATTCAAAATTATGGTAGCAAATTAATTTTATCATAACAATAAATTATACAGCTTATCTACATGAAGATGTTGTTTTCACTAGATTTTGTTATATATATAAAAAATATATATATATATATAAATGCATTGACATTGTTTTGTGCATTCTATATTGGAAGTTGGAAACTAAGTCTCTTTAAATAGAAATTAATACAACTAATATTTTGATATCTTAACATGATTAATATCATATTTTTGTGATGTAATAGGGGGGTTCAAACATGGCACTTGTGCAAAACCAAATAATTGATGGAAACTGCAGTGTACAAAGAGCACATCAAAAAAACTTCTTACCAAACCCCTTTGAAGTGCTCAGTAGCATCTGTAACAAAACTAAGACTGCTGGGAAGGAGGATGTAGCAAATGACACGCAGAAATTTTTGGGAATTTGTGTTTTAAATTTCAGGAATAATGAATAGGCTTTTAATAATCCACATTCTGACTCTTGAGATAAGTATAATCGTCCACAGTTTTATAAAATTGTAACATGGTTGGTTTGGGACCCTAAGCAACCCTCAAATAAAGGTACATTTTTCAGCTTCAAAACGTCTCACAAGGAATGTCGCAATTCCCAGAAAGTAATAGCTTTCAGACACAAATACTATAGCAAAGCTTTAAAGCACTGGTCGATGCACTAGAAACAAATAGTAAGCCCCTTGACCCTAATGGCAAGCAGAAGCCATATAGGTTTTGACTTCCACCCAGGTTTCAGATTGACAAAAACATATATCTGAATATGAAATACCAAAATAATGACTAAACTAGTCTATCTGAGATGTATTTGTAACAAAACTGCACCACGATTGCCTAGCTGAGCCATTCAAAGAGATTACAATAATGACTTGTTGATACTTAAATAACAATTAACTCCATCACATGAAATTGTAGTCATCTATTGCATCATATGAAGCGCCACCCAATTCAGCATCGTCATCAGGCTTATCAACAATAAGTTACTTCTTTTTTGCGCCTGTAAGATCCAAACCAAGAGTTAACAAATGTGCATCCGAAATCTGCCACATCGACACAGAAGACATTGCAACTCAAGCACTAAGGACAGTAACGCACATACGTGAAATGCAGAGACACATGATAATTTGCATCACGAATCAAACCCATTTCCTCTGATGCAAATCTTCAAATAACTCCTACAACAGCATCGCCTTTAAGGACACAAACATGCAGTTACATACCTGTCTTCTTGTTTCCTGCAGTAGTGTCTCTCTCAGGCTTCAACTTCTCATTAGCGATGACAGTCATACTTGATGCAACCTCCTTGGCATCAGAGGCTTTCATGTTTGCAACTGACAGTCTCATAATTGCTCTAAGGAGAGTCATGTAATGAAAACTTTTCTGTTAACATTGTACACAACATATAAGAATGAATGTGACAATCTGACTAAAACATTGGCATAACCTACGGAAAGTACTAAACAGTCCACTTCAAATTCTTATCAAATTCGCTAATAAGTTCTAAACCCAGACAAAATAGCACAACAGAGTTAAGGACATTAAAAATTTGTAAGCTACAATCAACAAAACAAGAAGACTAAAATTCCTAGGAAGTGTAACAAAATCTTTCAAAACCAGACTTTAACTAAAAATGTAAAAATTCAAGTAACCTCAAGTAGGTGAGACTGCAAATATTCTACCTCAAATGGTCTTATCTTCTGCGCAAGTAGTTCAGCATACTCCAGAAAATCATCTTCGGACGTTGGAATAAAGTCCTCAAAACTAGGACCTCCTTTTAGCTTGCCTCCAAAAAGCTCCGATGTGTTCTGAAAATCAGCTTCCTCAACCAGCCTGTTGCACACCGCAGTAGCTTAGTCAGCACACTGGCACAAATTTAAAACTTTATGTATGTTTCATGCCGTGCTTAAAAATATGAGGCGGAATCAAACAAGACAAAAGTTCACAGATTCGCACTGTTTGAATAAGCCCAAGTGAGTATGCACAGCACCTCACTACCAAAGGAAAAAGCTAAACGAACAACTGTCTCAACATAAAGTATATATCTTTGTTGTCGCAGCTTCTCAGCCAACGGGTCGGAAAGCACCCCATCATTGTCATCTACCTTCTTGGACTTCTCCTTATTCTTCTCAGTCTTGGGTTTGAGTGCAGCCGCCTGAGGCAATGGTAACCAAACAACATTTTTATGCCAATTATGCTTGCAACATCACCTGAAATATTCAAAAAGTACTCGGTTCCAATCAAAAAGCTAGATAATCTGAATATTTGGGGCGTTATTTCTAGGCAAATATATACCTTCAATCCCTGCTACGCTCATTTTCTACAACCTGTAATATAGATCTCAATCCCATGTTTCACAGTTTTAGGAGACCACGTACAGGCTTAGGTTTCTCCTCTTCCTTCAGCTGCTCCTCTGCATCTTCATCATCCCATGGATTCTTCACTACAGGTACCTCCTTGGCCAACACTGGTGGCAAGGGAACAAAATCATCGGCACCTGCAAATACAAGCAGACGACGTGCCAGATCTGAGTTCCCGTGTTCCGACACGAACAAATAAAAATGAATATCTTTTTGTGCTTCTATGCAAAGCCACATGAACAACCACGAGAGAGGAAAAAAGTTAAGGCTCCTACCCTAATCATCATCCATGATGCCTGAAGCTCCTCGAGAAAAAAGTTTGAAAAGCCTTTAGATACTTCAAAAACTTACGGAACTAAAAACTTAAAGAGCGCTTAAAGACCGAGATGTATTTCACGCTCCCGAGGAACAACCCTTTAATAAAAAATAAAAAAATAAAAAATAAAAAATAAAAAATAAAATTGCCGACTCCTCAAAAGTCTCAAATTTCACCTGTCAGTGCAAGAAAGTTCATCACAAATGTGTACATGCATGAAAATAGTGTTGGTAACCTAAAACCCTAAACCTTGCCACCAAACAACACTGATTCCAAATAGATTGGGTGAACAGTTTCTGGTTGGAGAAAATCTGCTCGGAAACTGCTCCAATGCCAAATGCAAAATCTGGTCATTTAAATAGGACATTCGAAATTCGTACGCAACTGTCTGTATACTAATGTCTAGGCTCTTATCGCCATCAACCACAAAAAGAAAGAGTAACAAGCTTCCTGAAATATACATATCTGGATTCTACTCGTTTAAAAAAATCTAATAGCAACCTCAGGAAACCCAGAATTAAATCATGTAGTAGTGGCCTTCCGACAATGCGATTGTGGGTGACGTATACGTGATGATAATGCAGAACATGACATACAAGCTGAAAAGGACGAATAATGCCACAACGAAAAAACGAAACGGTGTCCTAGAAGCAACCACTGCAAGACGGTCAGAATCGCTAACAACACAACAATAAACGAGGAATTGGCACCTAATAAACATGTTGACAGATGAACACCAATTGAAAATGCGAATGGTAGGTGGGAAAACAAAATAATCATAATCCGAACCTCGTAGACATGTGTCCTAAAAGATGAACTCCTATGTAGTTAGAGAAATGCAAAAAAGTAGCTCACCCTAATCCAAGTCTACAATTACAAGAGAAATAGGTTAAAGTATCAGCTTTCCACAGAGATACAAAACAAAATATTTAGAAAGCTCACGGAGGCTGAGAAAACAGAGAAGAGCATCCCACGGAAATGACTTTGACAACCATTTGTCAACAACAGTGTTTCGAATAGAAGTTCAAAGGCCAAGATTAATAAACAATACGGGAATAGCTCCTAAACCAATGTGATTAAAAACGTAACAAATCAACCAAGCCTAATCATGATCATGCCCCAAGTCGTTAAACAGTGATCCGACAAGCCACCAAAGGACTTACAAAGACCAACATAACGTCAATTCACACTGTGTAAGATGGAATTCCAAACACGAGCCAAAAAAACAAAATGCGAAGCACTCACCAGGCGATTGGACAGCTTCTCTCCAGCAAAGGAAACTCGTACCGCAAACTGGGACGGACCGACTGACCAAAAACTCGCCAGTATGTCAACCTTACAACAAAATTAACGTGACAAAAACGAGAAGTGACAAGCAGGGAAGTGGCCACTACGAAAGGGCAAAATGCGAGGAAGGTGCAGCGACAGCGATACCAGGGCAGCAACACACGGCACGGCACCAAAGGCGAACGAGGCAAGCTACAGAAAATGTCTACAACAAAGGCAAAAATCTCATTTCCCTGGACCTTATTAAGA